TAAAAATTTCCTGGGCTGTGAAATTCAAACATCTAGGAATTACTCTATCTTGGAATTACGAAACAATATTGTGTGTTAAGGATTAAAGAAATAAAGTCTCTATTGCAAGTAAGACAATGCCCAAGGTACCCTAGGGACTCCTGGGGCTTGATTTAATAACAAACATTTATTGACCACTTAGCGCCTAGTACTGTGCCAGGCCTTGTGGGAAGTACAAAGAAATTTTGTCCTGAGCAGTTTACAGTCTCCATAGGACAAAAAGTGAGCATGCGTAAAGCAGGTAGAGAACAAAGAAACTTAAGTCACTGGTTGATGCTAACATGTAAACCATAGGGTTTCTGCAGAAAAGAATTTTAGGTTCCTGGCTTGAGTCTGTCATCAAGTTAATTTATATGACCTTAGGCAAAGCCCTTAATTTCTCTGCCTCTTGCTTTCTGATTGGTTTCCTATCTTGGGTGAGGGCCCCTCCAGCCCAGTGAGCAAGCTCTTTCTCACTTGCCCTTCCCCTCCTGCCTCCAAAGGGGCACCCAGTCCTGTTGCTTCTATTTTGGAAATGTTCTCTAGAGTCTTCCCAGTCTCTTCCCATTCCACCCAGCAGCTGGAATAATCTTGTTAAATCATAAATCTGATCACAGCACCTGCCTCTGCTTAAAACCCACAGTGGTTTCCTCATTGCCCACAGGATAAAGTCCAAACTCCTTGGCAAGATTTTCTTGGCTCTGGTCTGGGCTTCAGCGTACCTCTTCAGTCTGGTTTCTCATCCTTTGCCCTTCACCGCTACTCACCCCTTGGTCTGGACACACCAGACAGGCCACTCTTTTCTGACAAACTGCTGACCCACCTCCCTGGAATTTCCTTTCCTCTCTTTTCCACTTGGCAAAATCATACTACTCTTTTAAGGTTTGTCTCAGATGTCTCCTCTGGCAGATGCCCACATCCTGGAAACAGTGCATTTCAGTGTCTCTCTCTTCCCCACTGGACAAAAAACCTGTTGAAGGCAGGGCCTGCTTTCGTCCTGCTCTGTCTTATATGTAAACTTCATCCTCAACCACTGTGGAGTGGAAAGACAAATGGATAAAGGAGGAAAAACTTAAAGTGGAGATAATAGTGTTTATCCTTTGTTACCACCCAAGGCTGCCCCAGGCATGAACATGAGAGAATGTTTTTTGAAAAACTTTGAAAAATTCGAGACTACAAATGCAAAACAAGGTATTCCTCATTGTTTCCAAAAGGAGAGATTGTTAACCTTTGAAACATGGACGAAAATCCTTAGAATTTCCTCCAGTATAGCACCATTAACATGTGGGCATATGTGCTCGTTTGCACA